GGACAAGAAAAGATATCCAAATACAAAGAAGATGCAAAAAAATTGTTTGTACACGTTTTCACTGATGTGTATAAATAAATTGTGTGATACATACTTAGTAATATTTTGAGCAGATAATAGATAAATAATATAAAAAAATATAAATATAAAAGATGTATTGATTATCTAAGATATTAAAATAAAAAATATTAAAACAAAAACTACCTACCTCATTTTTGCAATGTATACTTAAAACACTTCGAGTAGAAAAGAATACTCTAAACTGAATCCTAAGGTTTCGCGAAGCTTTTTAAATAGTCAGCAATAAGCGATTGGAAACGCCTTTTCCTCCGATGGAAATCTATTGTTTTGGACATTTCAATGACATCTTAATAAAGATATTCCTGTTTTTCCTCTAATATTAAAATATTCTTTTGTCAGGTTAATTTAGTTTCTGGCATTTACGTCACGAACACGGCAATAACAAAATCTGAATCCGAGAATAAGTTTAGAAGATCGATTATTTTGTTTTCGCGGAAATAAGTTGCTTATGTAACATAATTATAGCCCAAATGTAAAAGAGGAAATGAAAACTAACTATCAAAAGAATCTGCGAACATACATTTGGAGTAAATTTCTTGATATCGCCAAATTCGCAACTAATTTTGTAGGATCAACAAATCGATCACGAAATTATCAGAATTTAAAATAAATATTTCATATTATAATCTAGAATATTTATTGAAAATTTTGAAAATTTCCTACTACACTCTGGATATTTGAGTATTTTTTATATATAATTGAATGTATTTTATAATTATTAAAAAAATTTGACAACCTAGCTACAATGTGCATATTTTTCCCTTTGGAATCCGATACTGCTATTATTGAATCAATAGCACCAATATTTCTTGAAAAATATCCCAAATATTTGGGCAAATATGCCCAAATATCTTGGAGTGATACTAGACCGGTCACTAACGTATAAATTCACTGTCAGAGCGCAAGACAAAAGGTCTCTACGAGAAACCACCTTCTCCGGAAACTTGTAGGGAGCAAGTGGGGTGCAAACCCCCAGGTCTTGAAGTCAACAGCTGAGGCCTTATATTTCTCAACAGGGGAATATGCTTGTCCCGTCTGGGGTAGATCTAGACACGCCGAACAAGTCACCACGGCATTAAATGAAACATGTAGAATCATTACCGGTTGTATGAAGCCTACCCCTCTACACCTACTGTACCAGGTAGCTGGATTCGCATCACCAGACGACCATAGATGTGCCACACAATATGTAGAGAAGTTCAGGCCAACTTTCGATGAACGGCACCGATTATACGGGTTTGACGAACCGCCAGGAATCAGCCGACTTAAATCAAGGAAAAGGTTTATGAAAAATATCAGCGTCGAACCACCCGAAGTGTTCCCCCTACATCCAGAACGACCTAATGGAATGAACCTGGACTGGAGAACCTGGCGGACACTCAACCGCATGCGCACAGGTGTTGCCCCTGTAAAACAGAAACTCATTAAATGGGGCATCAAGACAGATAGCGAGGCACTCTGTGAATGTGGGGAAATACAGAACGTGGAGCACCTGAGAGTATGCAGACTTTGCCCATCACAATGCACCCTCGATGATTTATGGCTCGCAAATACAAAGGCTGTAGACGTAGCCCGATATTGGGCAGAAAAACTTTAGTCGGATCCAGACTCGAAAACGTAAAGGAAAGTCTTGAAAAAGGTTAATTAATAAATTTTTAATTATCAATATTATGAAATGGACACAGAAGAAGAACGATTGGTCTTGAAGATTAATATAGATAAGACGAAGGTAATGGTGGTTAGTAGAACTCGAAATATGCAATTAAATATAAGAGTAAACAATAAATACATCCAAAAGGTCCCCAAGTTCAGATATCTCGGTACTTGGATAACTGAAGATCTAGATCCACACATAGTGATATGGAGCAGGATTGAGCAAGCCAGAACAGCATTTACTAATATGAGAACCTTGCTAAGCAACAACAGCCTTAACTTAACGCTTCGATATCGCTTTGTAAAATGTTACATTTACTCCATACTGCTATATGGTGTAGAAACCTGGACCATAAAGGCCAATCGTCCATGTTTTACTGGCATATAACGCTATAAGTCTTGTCACTGCGTTATACGAGTATATTCTTATCTTAGCTCTTCCAGAAATGTTTTTACTTCTTAATAACTTGTTTATAGTGAAGATACAACGATTACCAGCCATAATTCTCACTTGGATTTCTTCCTTCATATTTGGTATCTTGGTGAATGTTTCTCCTAGGTATTGAAACCTTTATATTTCTTTGAATTTATATATTTTTCCTTGTCTATCTAAGTATATTATTTTCAGGTGTTGGCCTTGTATGTATTCTCGTTCTGTCCATTCCATATAGTTGGTTTTTCCTTAGATAAATTGTAATCGCCATATATGAAATGAAAAATGTATTCTACAAGGACAAAGATCCGAATATTCCGATCAAATGTCATGTCTGTTCTACTCTACGGATGTGAAACCTGTAAAGTGACAAATACCCTCACAGACAAACTGCAGGTCTTTGTTAACAAATGTCTATGAAGAATTGTCCGTATATTCTGGCCTAACACCATCAGAAGGGAAAAGAAAAAGAGGTCACCCAGTACAAACTTGGAGAAGATCCATCATGGACGAGATAAGGGGCCAAGGAAAGTCTTGAAATGAGGTGAAGGCCTTAGCGCAAAATAGAACCCGATGGCGGGTGTTCACTGAATCTCTATGATCCACTTAAGGGTTCAAGAACCTTATATATATATATATAGATAAAATTGAAAATTAGATAAAAAATAGAACTTCTTTTCTTTTTTGTGTCTGGATCCGAATAAAAAATAGAAAACCGAGATACAGGGAAAACGTAACAACCTTATACTAACTGGTAACATTATAGCAACGAAACAATAGAAAAAAATAAATAACGAAAGGAAGACAAGAAAAAACCTGGGGGTCCACAGTGTTTAAAAAAAAAATACAAACACGAAGTTGAATAGGGTTTGGACATCTAATGCATATGGACAATAAGAAAACGGTACAATACATCTGAGAAACCTAAACTGGAGGCAATAGAAGAAGAAGCAGATCCAAGATGGAGTAGAACCAAGAAATAACTAGGTGCTAAAAATATTAAAATGGGACTAAGCTCGTCTCATCGAAATTGAACCATCTAGGAAACATCGAAATAGCTGTCCTTTTAGTCAATCGCATTTATGATACAGGAAAAATATCCCAAGACAGATCAGAACCAATATTCAGCGAAACAATTATCGGAGACGATCAGTTTGAATTTATAGCTGGCGTATGAACGAGAGAAGTCTCTGTTCAGTCATGAAATTCTGGCTTAAAAATGCTACGACTAACAGAAAGATATATTTATATGCTTCATAGGCTTTGAAAAGGCATTTGATAAAGTAAAACATGACTTACTATTACAACGTTTGTTTAGATAGGAAGAACATCAAACTACTAAAAAACTTGTACTGGAACCAAAACACCGGAGCTAGGATCGAAGGTTCCACGTTCAGAGAAGTAAAAATTAGAAGAGAGTTTCAACAATGATGAGTTTTGTCACCCTTGCTACTTAATCTTTATTCTGAGTTTCTATTTATAAAGGCACTGGAGGATTTCAACTAGGGATCTGTCTAGATGAATTCGTGTTCCACCTATTACCATATTCTTGACCATAGTAAAATTCTCAGTCCGGTATCATTTGGGATCTGCGTGTAGGCTCATTTTACCGATAATCAATGAAAAATATTCTTTCTTCTGACTTTGGCATTTGAATCTATCTATCTATCTAATTAGCCTTCTTCGGTCCATCTTTGAACATAGGCCTCCCCAATCATTTTCCATTCTTCTCTGTCTGTCGCTACAGTCATCCACCTAGAGCCCACGTGCTTCTTGATATCATCTGCCCATCTCATTTGGGGCCTTCCTCTGCCCGTTTATATTCCCACGGTCTCAAACTTATAAGATATTTGTATTATCGGTGTTCTTTTTGTCTTATATTTTGTCCGGCAAATCTCCATTTCAATTTTGCAACTTCTTGTCTAACATCTCTCACTTTTGTTTTCTCTCTTATTCACTAGTTTCTCTTTTTATCCATTTGTCTTATGTGCAACATTTATCTTTACATTGCTCTTTGGGTTTTTATGATTTTGTCCATGTTTGCTTTTGTAAATGTCTACGTTTGGGAACCATAAGTGAGAACAGGGAGTACGCATTGATTGTATACTTTAGTCTTAAGATGCTGTGGATATCTTTTCCATGCTGATATCAATTTACCAAATGCTGCCTATGCCAGTCTAACTCGTCTTTTTATCTCTGCCGTTTGGTTTTTTTTGTTAAGTTTTATAGTTTGACCAAGATATATATATATATATATATATATATATATATATATATATATATATATATATATATATATATATAATCCTCAACTTGTTCTATTTCATCTTGTCCGATCCTCATTGTGATGCCTTCATCTGTATTTGTTATGGTTGTGGTCTTACTGTAATTCATATTAAGGCCTATCTTTCCAGCTTCTACGTCCAGTTTTTTCATCATTTCAAATATTTCTTCTTTTTTATCGGTTATCAATACGATGTCATCAGCGTACCTTAGATGGTTCAAGTATTGTCCACAAATTTTTATACCTTTTTCTTCCCATTCTAATGTTTTAAAAATATATTCCAGAGCCTGATTGAAAAGTTTCGGTGATATTGTGTCACCCTGTCTCACGCCTCTATTTATTTGAGGCATTTGAGTATTCCGCTAATAAACAAGGCTGGATCTAAACACAATAAAATTCTCAGAGTCTCATAAGCAGGAATTAGTTTAGAGTCTGACTGCCTTGTATTTCTACCAAATGCCTACCAAAAAGAGCTGCATTTAAAGAAGAAGAAGAAGGTAATAGAGTTGACTATTAGTTACTAAATATTTCTGAACCAAAAAAAAGCAATTAAAAGAAGTTGTTTATTTTCGATTAATTACAAAAAAAATTCTATTATCTAGTAAGTTTCTTCTAGAATGAACAACTATTAAGGTCTCCAAACATCTTCATATCTTCCTACATATCGTTAAACCCAAAAGAGTGTGTTCATAGCCAGATTATTTTTTGTCTGCAAGTGAGGAAAGGTGGTAGCATACATTCACATTGGACTCTTCTGGTTACATCGTAACTCTTAAAGACAGTCTCCATTCTCTCACCTAGTTTATACGTATCCGATCCAAATTTGCAGGTCAAACCTAAAAGAAATAAGAGAATTACATAATGAACAATAAAATAGATTTTACGAGAAAATAATATGAATGTATGTTGTTATGGAAGAACTATTAACGACATAAGATATGCAGATGACACCGTGATTATGGCAAGCTTTGCTGAACAACTCCAATTACTGCTAAACAAAACAAATAGTTTCTGTGAAAATACAGACTAAAAATGAATATAAAAGAGACTAAATATATGATAACGCAAAAAAAAAACAACAACTATACAAAAAAACATATTTGGGATACGTTCTGGTATAAAGGGTTAAAAAATACAGATACCTGGGACCCTTAGGTAATTCCGCCCATGAGTAAACAAAAAGAATTACTAAGAATAATCGGATGTGTTAAGAGGTGAAAGATATGAATTACTCGGAATAATATTGGAAGGTAAAGTTCAAGGCCAAAGATCAGTAGGAAGACGCCAAAACTCGTGGCTGAAAGACCTGAGGAGAAGGTTTGGCCGCTCATACACAGAAATCTTTATCTGTATCAACTATCTAACTATTTAAACTAAGTATTAAAAAATAAACTATTCGTAATTTGTAATACATTTTTGAAGAGCAGCTTGTTTTTGAATCCATAAAATAAAAAAGGACCAACGCTTAGTGGACATACACCTCAAGACGAAGGAATAATCCTAAGTAATTTTTACCTAAATTATTTACCCAGCTGAAAAAATATTTATTCAGCTACACTTGGATGGTGTTAGCGAATCCTACCTGTTCCTAATCTTTCTGAACCTGCAAAATGTTCTAGTAATATTGTAATAGTAAAAACTCGATAAATCCTTAAGAACTTGTTTAAATCCTAATGACCTAAATAAAGTATGTATAAGAAATTTTTAAATAATACCAAGATTTTTTATAGTTTTATTGTTAGGTAAGAAAATTTATACCTGTATTTTGGTCTGCTTTTGGATTAGCAGCTATCCTTGTTACATTGGAAGAAGCTGAAAAACAAAAATATTATTAGTATTATATAACAAATAAGGGCAAAGGAGCAAGCTCCTATTGTGCCCAAAAAGCAAAAAAAAAAAGAAAAATATCCTTATAAAACTAATACCAATTATAAAGTTAATTGTGTAGATTGTGTGGAATTAAATGGGTAGCTGAGAGGTTTTTACAAGGTTTTAGTCGATTTCTGTATAGCTGCCGTTCGGTTGTATGACCAGAAATTGTTGTAATAGCAGTATGAACCAAAAATTGCCAGTTTAACTGGGATAAAACTAAATTTACAATAAAGAAATCAATAGTGGCATAAGTTACCAAAATATTTTTGCAAGGCGGTGTTAAACTAAATAAAATGTTAGCAGTAATAAGCGAGTAGTCAGAAAGACCCACAGGAGACGACACTTCAAGTGTAGCAATGAATTTATCGTCATTTGCGAAAAATAAGTCTAAAATTGAAGGATTATTGCTGGCTCTAAACCTTGGAGGTTCAGTTATCAGTTGTAATAAATTTGAGTTCATGATAAAGTTTTTTTAATATTTTATTATTTATTTAATATTAAAAAAAAAACAAATATAGGGCTAACATACAAATAAAACATTTAAAATTCCATTAAAAAATTGAATCGTTCATTTCCGACAAAGATATTTCAGTTTTGGACCAGAGAAATAACAAAAGTCAGTCTCTGTTAAGCTAAAACCATCATATTTTATCTAAAAACTGAAAACGAATCGGTTAGTTGTGGACTTTAGTAATGGTTTTTAAGAGGAACGGTTATTGTACCAAACAGAATCTTTTAAAATACACTCTTTGCAAAGCTTTAAACGTAAAGGGTTATTTAGCGAATTTCTGTGAGAAAGCAACGTAAGTGTAAACTAAAAGCAATGGAAATGGGTGTTCTATCATGAAATTTATTCTGTTTGGGCTTTTTTCTAGTCTAAACATGGAACAATGAAAGGTTATTTTTTAGTTCCAAAAACGTAAAAACAGTATATTTTGCTTCTTATGTAAAAATACAATATAATACAATCTAAAAAGTCAAGATACTTACCCTGACAAACCCACGAATGAGGACAACAAAGCGGTTTGTCATTATCGTATAAATAAAAAGGAGCACAGTTTTCCTTGATTTTATCGCTGTTATGAACCTGCTCTAAACAGGATCTTCTCTGGCAAAACTCCGAAGTGTATTTGCCGGTAAAACCTTTTCCGCATACACAACTTAGACAAGTATTTTGTGGGTAGAATTCCTCGCCTTCCATGACAGTTGCTCCATTGACTTTGCATTCAGCCGGATTGTCTTTTCTGGCTGCAAAAATTCACCATGTGGTTAAATTGTGATTATGAGGTATATTTAATTTTGCTTTTAACATTTATATACTTACCACACATAGTTCCTACAGAGCAACATTCTCCAAGTTTGTACTTTAGATAGCAATCGCTTCTAGTGGGGCCCGGTGCTTCGTTTTCAGGGCAGTCCAATTCAGCACATTCGAACGAGTGGCTGTAAAAAAGAAATCAATATTACAATTACAAGATATTACCATTACTATTACAAAAATTAATATTAGACACAACAATCTGCCGCGTCGATTAACATTGCGCAGTAATACATTGATTGTATTAGTAATGCATTGTGCATTGGTTGTATTAGTAGTGCATAGTGTTACTGAATATATCTCCAAGTACAGAGGAACCTATCTAAAACTTATCAAAACAACTAAAAAAAAAGCCCGATACTATGAGAATCATCTGGAAAGCTCTAAAAATGTTGCAACGGAAACTTCTTCTTTTTGTGCCACTTCTATCGGAGATTGGAAATCATCAAGGCTATTCTGACCTTGTTTACGGCTGACCTAAAGAGTTCATTAGTGGTGCAGCCAAACCACTCTCTCAAATTCGGCAACCATGACATTCTTCTACGGCCTGGATTCCGTTTTCCTTCTATTTTTCCCTGCATTATATTTTGAAGTAATGCGTATTTATGTCCTCTCATCAGGTGACCAAAATATTCGAGTTTTCTTCGCTTTATCGTTAACAAAATCTCTGGGTCTTTTTATTACTTACTCTGGGTCCATAATAAACGAGCTTCGGAATAAAACTAATACAGCTCAAACATTTTCTCTTCCAAACCCTGAAAACCTAAATTTATACTTCATTGTGAGTAAAAATATAACATCAACTATTTTGCCACTAGATCCTATTTCCTAGCCAATCTCCATAATTCAAAAAAGGTCTCGAATTCATTCTTTATAAGACCAGTTGATAAATTTGAACTGAGCCAAACAATCAGTAGTATCAAAAGCAAATCTTCCTGTAGTACTGATGGACTACCCATAAAAATTTTCTTAAATCTCCCAAATAATGTGTTGGAAGTCCTGATCTCACTAATTAACGATTCCTTTGAAAAAGGTATATTTCTAAAAACCCTAAAGGCAGCCATTATTATTCCTCTTCAAAAGGGTGGTGGAAAATCGAATATTTGCAACTATATACCTATTGCCTTACTACTGGTCCTATTAAAAATTATTGAGAGACTTATAAAAGCCCGATTTATGTCCTTTCTCGTTAAAAACAACATTTTATCACAAATCAGTTCGGCTTTTTATCTAATGTACCAGCGATACTATGTTTTCTGTACTACATGAGATCTATCAAGCACTAAACAATAATCTTTATACTGTCTGTTTTTTATGCCAAAGCTTTTGATTGTATAAATCATGACATTTTGATAAAGAAACTTAATTTCTACGGAATTCGAGGTATTTCTTTGAATTGGTTCCAATCTTACTTGAGGAAGAGGAAACAACTAGTTAGAGCAAACGATACTGACTCTGGTTACAATAGATTTATATGTGGAGTACCACAAGGTTCAGTGCTGGGTCCTCTACTGTTCCTTATCTTTATAAATAACATCACTAACTTAAAAATCGATGGGAACATTTTTCTTTTTGCTCTACCTGAAGGAACTCTAATATTGCAACTCTTCATGCAATTATAACTTCTGATCTACTTAAAATAAAAACCTGGTCGGACTCTATGTACATTTTTTTTTTTTCACTACGTTAGAACCTAAACCCGATTCAACAACTCGGAGGTTTAGATCCTCTTAGTGATTGTTTTACTATATTTTTTTTTTTCTTTTTTTTTGTTCTTTTTTTTTTCTTTTTTTTAATATATTTTTTATAATCCTCTTTTTTTCTTTTTTTTTTTTAATAATTTTTTTTTCTTTTTAAATCTATTTTTTAAGTATATTACTTTTTTTTTATCTTTTTTTTTAATTATTTTTTTTATTATTTCTTTTCGTGAATTTTTTCTAAACATAGGTTACAAATCTAATTATGCCTGCTATGCATCAGGATCTGTTTCGAAGGAAATCAATTAAGCATCTTACAAAATAACAGATTACTTTCCTTTGTTTGAGTCTCATCTTCGATATGGCCTTCCTTTTTGGGGTTCTAGTACAGCTACCCAATATAATATTATTTTTAATTTACAGAAAAGAGCAATACGGTATATTTTTGGCCTCAGTAGAATAACACATTGCAGAAACTAAAACATCACGGGATTTTAACTCTTCCCTCTCTATATTTTCTAGAAACTGTTTGCTTAATTCGTAAACACCTACATGTTTTTCCAACAAGACCTAATCATGACTACTCCACAAGAAATTCAAGCTTTGATGTGTATTTACTGATCCACTGAGTTTCATATTATTCAGTACACGAATAACTAAGAAATTGCAGTACGTTTAGGTACAAGCAACAAAGTATTTTTATATATATTTGGGTATTACATTTACATGTAGCAGATTAAACTTATTCGTAAACTAGTTCGTAAGGATTTATTATGCAATTTGCATTTTAGTTAAATTTTGCAATGGATGTATATTTTATTATCTTTTATTTTGTGATTTGTTTGTTTTTGTGATTTTGTTTTTTTTTTGACTTTTTGTAAATATTGTCCATAAAATTGTACAATTTTCATTTTCAGTAACAATAAAGCATATTTTTATTCTATTAGATTCTATTCCATTCTAGTAGTTAGTGATCAGTATAGTAGTGTCCTGGGGCTAATATCGGGATTAAACCATTAATACAACGCTAGGTAGAATTTTTAAGATAATTACAGTCACATAACAATAGTAAACAAAATTCAGAATTCATAGACAAAAAAAAGACACCTATTGCTAATATACTTACTTTTCTTGACAGCTACACCCTACAGTACATGCACTATAGGTATCGTTGTCAGATAAAGAAGAACCAACAGGAATATCTCTGTTTCTAAATCTGCAGGTGTTGCTTTTGGCTTCCAAATCACATTTAAATTCTACAGGGCATTTATGACCCTCTTTCATTACAGGTGTGCAGTGCATATCTTCATAAACAAGCGTGCCATGGTTGTCACATTGGGCTAGAAAGAAAAACAAATTATATTCAATTACGAAAACAACTTTACTATATAGACTAGGAGTTCCTAATATTTGTCATCTATGGAAATCGAAATAATCAAGCTTCCTTTGTCGGAATCCCAATTCTCATTTATGGAAACATAAATGATCAACATTCTTTTGTTGTTCAAAACAGCATTTGTTTTTTATTTTTAATTTACTAACTTACTGTTCTGTAACCTTACGCAGTATATTCTGTTTGCTATTTTCCGGCCAGATTGCAAGTGCCATCATTTTCGTTGTTTTGGGAACGTCAATGAAGCCGAAATGCAACGCATTTTGACTCAATTCAATGAACTTGCTAACTACGACGATCAGAATCGGTATTTAGGTGGTCTGATAACCGCTCTAATTCGAGTGGGTACTGGCACACCTAATCTTACTTCTTATTCCTATCGTGTTAGGAGTAGCCATGATGGAAACTTTCGTGATGTACAAGAATATTTCGAATCATTCTTATCCAGTCATGAAATTTCTGCTTTCCAAGTACAAAGAATTCAAGAATCACCGGCCTTAACTAGCACTGTACCATAAAACTCTAGAGGAAAACATGGAAGTAGGCCCCACAAAATTTCTGAAGATACTATACACAGAAAATGTTGGATAATTTAAAAATTTTGTTTTGGAGAGGCAATGGAATAGTAGTTTCGGTGATTTTGGCTTGTTTTTTGCAGGTGAACATTTTTTTCCAAAGTAATCCAAAGATCCAAATTCCAAAGATCAGTTGGACCAATTCCATAGGCATCGTTAAATTCTAGAAGGATTTTTCGTAGATCTTCAGTCATAGTGGAAAGTCTTTCGGAAGCCAAAAAGAGTTTCAACGCTTGTGTTGATGAATCCTTCGTAAGATACTGAAGCAGGTTGGTTGTGTAAAAAAGAGAGATGCAATTTAATGACTTTCAAGATATTCGATTCCCTTAATCTTGCTAGAAGATATCGACTGTTCGAGTTATTGGTTAATCTAACTCTTGGTGTGGTCAAAACATCCATATTTATCATGGTGCCAAAGTATCCTGCTTAATGTAGTAAATATTAGAATTGAAAGCATTTTTAGACTTGTAAATTTTGATGACCTGCTTGTCTGTGACTATTTTTGTATTTTCCACTTCACTTTTGTTGTTACTTTCGAAATTGTTCTTTATCTCCCTTCGTATATATGGGTATTATAACTTTTTCATTCCATTCCCAAAGTATTTTCTGTTGTTGCGATGCTCTCAGAATAATCTCATACAGTTTTTGATGTAAAACTTTTCCTACCTTTTTTATCAATTCTCCATTTATACCATCATTTCTTGACGTTTTGTTGCTATCGCATATATTTGAAAGCAACAAAAAAATTTACAATATATTTCATCATCCAAACATATTTTTTAGTCCTTAACGTACGAATAATTTTAGCTTACTCGATCAAAGACTACTACTTGGTTCAGTTCTAGACTGGTTTACAGAGAGGTTTGCTTTCAAACACCAATTCACTACGTACTGAAGGGCATATCGCGTTTGATCTCCAAAAGTACTGGGAAATTTTCCCCTGGCCACTATTACAATATCCTGGAGTCAGGATCCAGATTTCATGGTTGCTAAGCCAATGAATCAAGTTGTCAACGACTATCTTTCATGCCAAATATCTTTTTGGGGCCTATAACTCACGAAAAGAGTAAAGGTACGCGGAACCAAATACTAAACCTGAGACAACCCATTGAAAAGTCTAGAGAATTTCAAGTACCTATAAGTATATGCTTCGTTGACTATTAATAGGTAGTTTATTGTGTAAGCTGGGTAAATTTGTGGTCTATTTTAATAGAAATGGGCACACGAATGCACCTGGTGATACTTATGAAAAATCTGTACCAGTCCATTTTAGCAACAGAACGACTAGATCAGAAGTTTTTAAACCAATTCAAGACCGAGAGAGGTGTTAGACAATGATGCGTGTTGTCACCTGACTTATTCAAAATTTATGGCGAATATGTAATGAAAACGGCTTTAGATGGATGGGCTGGTGGAGTAATAGTGGCCTGGTAGGAAAATCTCCAATTTAAGATTTGCTGATGACACTACACTTATAGCAGCAAATGAGCAAGAAATGTTTAATCTCCTGCGAAGAATTGAGTACGAAAGCAATAAAGTTGGTCTAAAAATCAATAAAGCTAAGACAAAAATAATGGAGGTCGACAGATTCCACACTATTCAACTGACTAACTGTTACAGGGAGAGATTATATATTGTTTCTGGAAACGTTCCGAGGAGACGATCAAGAGGACGATCACCAACTAGATGGTCCACCAAATTAAGAATTCAGCTGGAAACTCATTATGCGAAGCTCTCAGGGCAGCTGAAGGTAGAGACCAATGGAGAAAAATTGTTAGGAATATTGGAAAAAATCACGATCCGTAATGGAGAAACGATAAGAGAGAGAGAGAGAGAGAGAGAGTGATAATCCACGAATACTATAAATTCATAGGGAAACATTTTTAGAATAAACTTATGGACAGAAAAAGATAAAAAGAATAAAAAAAGAAAGAAAGTAATAGAAAATATAGTAAATGTATTACAGAAATAATCTAAATAGCGATAATAAAATTTGTGTACTAGGTTTGTGCGCCAATTGTTGTTTTGGATACAAAAAAGTATAAGAAAAATCATAAAATTTAACTTACAATCCAGTTCCAAGCTGTATACCAATTTTAAACAAATAAGATACACCGCCAACAGCTTCATCTTGATGAAATTTTATAATAACAATATTATTATGTAAACATGTAATTTTGTATTTCTCCTGTGACTTTTATCCAATAGGTTATCCCATTTTTACACCAAATTTTATTATTAGTGCAATTATTATTTACTTTGATAATAATTTGTTTAGAGAAGAGTGGGGCTTTTCTTTTTTACCACTCTACATTCAAAACTTTGTCAAGATTTAGTTTTGTTAAATTTACCAACTGATTTGGTATTCCTAGCTCTTTCATTGCTTTGAACATTTCTCTTCTATTTACAGAGTTTCGTCGCTTAATATGTGATAAATATATATGCCATATTTCAGTGTTTTTTCTAAAATTTGTTTCAGGGTTGCAATGATGAATTGTCGATTTACTACCTCTGAACCAGCATGGTATTTTCTCACTATCCTTTCTGCATATGGTGCCATACGGTGACAGAGTATTGTGGAAAATATTTTATACGCTGCATTCAGACATTGTTACAGCATTCAAAAATGTCTCCTTTTTTGTTTATGGTGCAAAGTATTACAATATTCCAATCATTGGGAAGGCATTTCTGTATCCATATTTCTTTTATAAGCTACTGTAATGCCATCATAGTATCGTGGTCACCATTTTTATTTAGTTTATCTAGGAGTTTATTCCGGGTGATTTGTTTCTGTCTAGTTTTCAACTCCATCTTTAACTTCAAGAATCGGTGGCCATTCTGAGTTCTGCATTGTCTTGTGATTGCCTTGAATTCTTTTCTGTTGATATTGTTACGAACATGCATTCAGCGTGGCCCGTGTAACGATTGCATATCAGGCATCGAGAACCATCCATAGATCTCTCGAACGCAAGAGAACAATCCGTCACGTATTTGACTGAATTAAAATTAGAGGTGGGAATGTTCTAAAACATAGTATATATATATATATATATATATATATAATATATATATATATATATCGGTTTTAAAACATTCTCCTACGTATTCCGATGCCTAGTCGCCATTCACTTCGGTCCATCCACAGGTCTTCATCTAATTCTCTTTCTCTCATACTTCGATTTATGCCTTGTCTTCAACTAAGGCGGGGTCTTCCTCTTTTTCGTCTACCATGAGGGGTCCACGTTAGGATTTGTTTCGGGAGTCGTTCTTCGGACATTCTTTGTACGTGTCCATACCATCTAAGCTGTTTGGTACTAATGTCATCTACTATTGTGTGTTTCACGTTCATTATTTCCCTAATTCTGTTGTTGGTTACCCTTTCTAATCTTGATTTTCCTGCTGAGCGCCTCCAGAAATCCATTTCTATTGCTTCAAGTTTTCTCTTGTATCTTTCTTTTATTTGCCATACTTCACTGCTGCAAGTGATTATACTCTTAACAATTGTATTGTATATTTTATGTTTGTTGTTGTTTGATATTGCCTGGTCCCACAGTATGCTATTGAGACTGGTAATTGCTTTTCTTCCCTGGTTGTTTCTTTCTTCTATCGTCCAGTCTACGTTTCCTTCTTGTGTGATGGTCATACCCAGGTATTTATATGCGTCGCAATGTTTAATAATTTCGCCATTCCCCAGTGTAAGGTCCTGCTGTGTCCCACCGATACACATATATCGGTGTCGGTCTTTTTTATGTTTATTTCCAAACCACCTTTTTTGTACTCCTCTATTAATTTCCTTGTCATATATTTTATATCATCGTAGTCTTGGGCTAGTACAAGTTGGTCGTCTGCAAATGACAAAGTGTATATTGTATTGTTGTTGATCGGTAATCCCATGTTTTTGCATTTGCGTTTCCAAAGTTTTAAAGTTTGCTCGAGGTAGATCTTAAATAATGTCGGTGAAAGGCAGCACCCTTGTTTTAGACCTTTGCTAATTTGGAATCCTCTCGACAGTCCGCTTCCAACTTTCACCCTTGCTGCAGTTTTGGTATACAAGTGTTTCGTCGCTGTTATTAAATTTGCGCTTATATTGGTTTTCTCTAATGCTTCCCATAGTTTGTTTTGTGGGATGCTATCATACGCTTTTCTCAAGTCCACATATAACAGATGCACCTCCTGGTTGACGGCCAGTTTCTTCTCAATAATCTGTGTTATACAAAACAGATGGTCTACCGTTGATCTCCCTGCCCGGAATCCTGCCTGTTCCTCAGCTTCTATATCTTTATATTCGTTTTCGATTTTATTTTTAATCAGTTTTCCGTATATTCGGCTGATCGAGTTCGTTACAGCGATGCCTCTGTAGTTGTCACATTGATCCCGTCTGCCTTTTTTATGTATGGTGGATATCCATGATGTCTTCCATTCTTCTGGGATTTCCGCTCCGTTGATGTATCTTTGAAAGAGTTTAGCCAAGTTTTCATATAATTTTGTTGTGCCATATTTTATTAGTTCTGCTGGTATGTTCCCTGGTCCTGGTGCTTTGTTATTTTTTAAAGACTTACATACTTCTTCTACTTCTTTTATTGCTATTCGTAATGGTGAGGCTCAGATATTTACGTTGCTGGTATCACTGTTATTTAAAAATTGCGCTCTGTCCTCATTTAGGAGTTTTTTAAAATATTCGTCCCATTGGTCCGCTGTGATTGATGATATTATATCTCTTTTCTTTTCCTGTCGTAGCGATTTTAATACTTTCCAACTTTCTGTACTTTTCCGTCCTCCTAAATGTGTGTTAATCATGTTACACTTTTGCTCCCAAGCCTCATTATTCTTTTGGCATCAATCTAAAACATAGTAACTGGTATATATATGTAACGATGTTAGGAGTAAGTTCAGTTGATAAGATAGTACCGAACTGTAAACTTATAAATAAATATATTTATATAAATTCGAACCGCTCGTTTTATTTAATCTCGCTACAATATTAACTTTTTTAGAGAATGCTCTGAATTCTTTCTCTCTGTTTAGGTTTTCTATTTATTTAAAATACTTATTTTAGTGGTGTCGTTTTTTTTTTCTGTATTTCTTTTTGTGTATCATCTTTTCTTCGTTTCTCTTTTTCTGGTATTTCTCTACAGTTGTTATAGTTCTTCGGGTAAGCATCTTTCTGTAGGCTTCATTTGCATTCTGCTGGTGAAATTTTTGTCTGGTTATATCGACTTCCCCTTACTATATGTCCCAGATAAGACGTTTTTCGATGTTTAGCAGTGTTTAGCAGTTCTCTGTCTTTGTTGACACTCCTTAGTAATTCTTCATTAGTTTTTCTTGCTGTCCAAGGGATCTTTAGCATTCGTCTATAAACCCACATTTCCAATGCTTCAATTTTGTTTATGATCGATACTTTTAGCGTCCACACTTCTGCACTATACAAAAGTACAGACGAAACATAGCACTTAACCATTCTTTGCCTTAGTTCTAAACTGAAATGGTTATTGCAAAGAAATGACTTCATTTTCATAAAAGTAATTTTAGTCATTGCTATTCTACGTTTTATTTCTATGTCTGGATCTAGTTGGTCCGTTATCACAGTTCCCAAATATCTCATTTTGCGAACTTTCTCAACTTGAACTCCGTTCAATTGAAACGAGGGGGGGGGTCACGACTAAACACTAAAAATTTGTAAAAAAGTTTCGAAACACAATTCAGATTTCCGCTTTAATCTGTGCTTTCTAAAAATTGCAAAGCAAAACAGACGTTGATATAGGTGTTAAAAGAGACGTGGGGAATCTAAAATTTGCATTCCACGACACGTCTTATCAACTAAGCAGAAATCCTTAGCGAATTGGTTTCTAGTACTCGTACAGAGCAAATCCGAAAAAAAGTGAAAAGACAGCAAATATTTGATTTCACGCAAACAGCGCCTTTGTATTATTCAAAGGTGTTCTCAACGTGAAAGATCAATATTTTCTGTCTTTTAAGAAGCAACACTAAAATGGCTTCAATACGGACGCAATAGCGACATCTGACAATAAAAACGTAAAAAAGTTTCGAAACACAATTCAGATTTCCGCTTTAATCTGTGCTTTCTAAAAAATTAAAGATTAAAGCAGAAATCTGAATTGTGTTTCGAAACTTTTTTACGGTTTTATTGTCAGATGTCGCTATTGCGTCCGTATTGAAGCCATTTTAGTGTTGCTTCTTAAAAGACAGAAAATATTGATCTTTCACGTTCAGAACACGTTTGAATAACTGTTCTGATGAGACCTATCAAGTCGAAATACGTATCAACCGATACAAAGGCGCTTTTTACGTGAAATCAAATATTTGCTGTCTTTTCACTAAAAATTTGGTTTTGTTTGAGTTTATTTTAATGCCCATTTCCTCTCCTACTTCGTGAATACGATCAAGCAGAATTGTTCTTTGCACTATATTAATTACTACCTGATTTTGAATAGTTTGGCTCCGTTTACCCCTGTTGTATATTAAAAATCACATAAATTATTTATGTGATACATATCACCACCTACAAGTGGTGATATGTAAATAGTATTTACTTAACTCGGTAAAAATATTTACAACTCTCTCCCAACGCATAAAATAATATTTAAATAACAAAAACAAATTGTTATATTTAAACCTTATATAATAATACCGATTCTTCAAAACATCTCAATGTCAAGAGGTCAAATTGAAATCTTTGGAAATATTTTGAGTGATACATGTAACAGAAGGAAAACAGTTATAGTTGACATATTAATCAGTTTATTTTAAATTTGACATATCTAGTCTATTTTTGGTCGTTGTAAAATGAATTCTACATCATCATCATCATAAGTGGCTCGACAACCCATTGTAGATCTTGGCCTGCTCACAAATAGGTCGCCACTCCTGTGAATTCCTGGCAACTTCCCTCCATCTTCTGACCCTTCAAATACATAGGTCTTCTTCCACATCATCAATACATCTCTTTCGTTGTCATCCTCTACTTCTTGTGCCTTCTGGTTTTGAAAATAATAATCTCTTAGTGTATTGATGATCTGACATCCTAGCAATGTGTCCAGCCCATCTAAGTCTCGGCACTTTAACGAATTATACAATATCTGGACCGGTATATAACTGATAGAGTTCAAAGTTGTATCTTCGACTTCATTTTCCTTTACGGCCCTAAAAATCTTTCTATTAATTTTTCTATCAAAAAAAACCAAAAGGTCTTTCATCATTTTGAGATAAGGTCCACGTTTCAGCCCTATATATCAAAACTGGTTTTATTAAGGTCTTGTATATATTGAGCTTTACTGTACGTTTTATATTTTTATTTTTTAAACGTTTCTGGAGACCGTAAACAGTTCTGTTTGTTCTTGCTATGCCTCTTTTTATTTCGTCGCTTGTAGTGTTTGTTGCGTTTACTAGCGATCCAAGATATGTGAGTTCTTTGACTTGCTCAAAGGCATGGTTATTAATTTGAATTCTTTGTTGGATATTTCGGGGTTTTTAGCAACCAACATATATTTGGTTTTGTCCTCTTTTACCACAAGTCCCAATTCACTTGCCGCGTTCGCAAGCCTTGTAAAAAACTGCACTATGTCCCTCATACTTCTGCCTACTATAGCTATATCGTCAGCGAATGCGAGAAATTGCGTCGATTTATTAAAAATAGTTCCATTTATTCTAATATTTAATTGTCTGATTGAATTTTCCAAGGCAATATTAAAGAGGAGACACGCCAGCGCGTCCCTCTGTCTTAGACAATTATTAAGTCAAAGCTGGGATTCCAAAGTCTACCATTACATTATATAATGCAGTTCTTTCACACTGTCATAGACTGCTTTGAAGTCGACGAAGAGATGGTGTGTATCTATGTTATATTCTAATGACTTTTCTAGAATCTACCTACGTGCTTGAATTTGATGTGTAGTTGACTTTCAAACAATACATTTATTACATTGAATACATTATTTAACGCAGATGCTAATAGAGTAATGCCTCTCTAGCTATTATACTCCAGTTGATCACCCTTTTCACTTAACAGACATATTATTCCCTTTAGCCACTCTTCTGATACCAATTCATTCAATAAATTCTCGAGGGCTATTATTTAAGGATTTGTAGTATTTCCCCGTTTCATTTTTCAGTATCTCCTATATTTGCCCATAGTTGCTTAATGTTTTCTTCTTCTAAATTGTCTGCTTATTTGATCTTCTATTTACTGTCTGTATACATTTGCAATGTCGGGATCTTTTAGTTTATTAATGTCGATTTTCTCTCCTTTTTTCCGATCTCCTTTTTTAAATTGAATATTCTTTCTTTATACAGATGTATTAAAATATTATCAAAGAAATCAGATTATATTTTAAGACAGTTTTGAAATTAAAATTCTTTATTTGTAAGGTTAAGTTTTTGCTTCTATTTGTTAATGTAACATTATGATTGATTCTGCTATTATATTAATGTTACATAGTATTTGATATTATCCACCATATTTATTTATTTATTCACTTATTACTATTATTCGTTGTTTGTAGCGTCTACGTTTTAGACACTGGAATCTGTCGCATTGTGAAAATTTAACCATATTCTAACCTAACTTTTTGTCAATATCAAATTTTGACAGTGACATTTGTTATTAGAAAATATTTTAGAATCAAAATAATGTTACAATAGTCTACAAAAACACAAAAATGACTATAGAAACTTTAGAAAACGACAATATAATTTTAGCCACTGGTGGCTATGACCATACTATAAAATTGTGGCAAACGCACACAGGAATTTGTACGAGAACTTTACAACATGCAGAATCGGTAGGTATTGAATTATTATAACTGAATTAAATAATAATTAAGAACTATTTTAGCAAGTTAATGCTTTAGAAATAACTCCAGACCGACAGCATTTAGCTACAGCCAGTTACCAGCATATATACATGTATGACTTAACTTCCAACAATCCAAATGCAATTGTTAACTATGAAGGAACATCCAAAAATGTCACCTGCGTTGGTTTCCAGGAAGACGGAAAATGGATGTATTCTGGGGGTGAAGACAGCAGAGCGAGAATATGGGACTTGAGATCTAGAAACAACCAATGCCCCAAAATATTTGAAGTGCAAAGTGCTATAAACTGTGTTGCTCTGCATCCAAATCAAGTGGAATTGTTTGTTGGGGATCAAAACGGTATCATTTATAAGTGGGATTTACGGACTGACCATAATGAACAACTTGTAAGCAAGATACTTTCTAACCAATAAGCAGTTATTGTCATTGACTATTTTATTTTAGATACCAGAAAATGATGCTATGATCTTGGATGTAGAAGTATCCCCTGATAGTCTGCTAATGGCTTCTGTTAACAATAAAGGCAGGTGCTACATTTGGAGTTTGATCTCTGGAATGACTGACACTCCAACAAAGATGATACCAAAACAGAAATTCGAGGCTCACACAAGGCACACATTAAAATGTAAATTTAGTCCAGATTCAACGTAAGTATTGTAGAGGGATTCTATGTAAACATTTTTTGTAAAGTAGTAATAAAAACAAAATACAAAGCTGTATAGGTGTGGGAAGAAAGCAAGTTTTTTGGTTAAAAAACATTTGTGGATGGACTCAGATATCACCTGCTGAACAATTATTCTGTGGCAGAAGATCCTTTTGAGAAGCCTTTGCAGTGGTGATTTCCAACATCAGATAATTCTGATATGGCACTTGAAGAAGAAGTAAGAAAATTTAAAAAAAAAATGAAAGAAATCATCAAATAAAAAAAGTCACTTTATAGGTAAGAAACCTATAGAATAAAAGTGTTATGGAGATAAATATCAACACATAAAGAAGCTAAAAAAGAAAAATATCACCAAGTAAAATAAATTAATCTAATTTGAAAGCAAAAAAAAAACTTCATTTATATATTATATAAACAATTTATCCACAATCTAGAGAAAGATCACCAAGAAAAACTTTCTAACACAAAATATTCTGTCAAATGTTGTAATCATGGTATCTTCTTCTTCTTCAGATGCAAATCCACTAATGGATGTTAGAGATCACATTTTCCATTAATTCTCTATTTCTTGCAATATGTGTCAGAGATTGTATGTCGTTAATCCCTGTCCATTGCCTTATGTTTCGAAGCCAGGACATTTTCTTGCGTCCCATTCCTCTCTTGCCTTCAATTTTACCCTCGATTATAAGTTGGAGGAACTGGTATTTTTCATTTCTCATGACGTGACCTAGATACGCCGTTTTCCTTTTCTTGATGGTTTCGAAAAGTTGGCGTTCTTGGTTTATTCTTTTAAGGACATCTATATTTGTGATTTTCGCTATCCATGGTATTTTTAGGGATACGGCAATAAAGCCATATTTCGAAAGCTTCTAATCTGTTTATATCCCTCGTTTTGAGTGTCCAGCCCTCTACGCCATGTAGCAGCACTGACCATACGTAGCACTTAGTAAACCTTAGTCTCAGTTGAAGATCAAACTCTGAACAAGTCAGTACTTTCTTGAATTTTACGAAAGCTTGTCGAGCTTGCTCAATGCAACATTTTACTTCCCTGTCCGATGCCTAGTCTTCAAAAAGCCACGATCCCAGGTATTTAAATTTACTCACTTTTTCAATGGACTTAGTATTCAGTGTTATGATGGAGTTTTCAAGTGCATCTAAGTTTTTGGAGATGATCATAAATTTGGTCTTTTTGGTATTAATCTCTAATCCCATTCGCTTACTGTATTCTCCGATTATAGTGACAAGTTGTTGAAGATCGGTATATCATGGTATACTATGCAGTAATTATATAAAGATTACAAATAATTATACCCATATTCAGCATAGCAATGCTAATGGAAAAGTTAATGAAAATAGTTTTATATCTGGAAGTCAAAATCTCGGTAATAAATTTTTTGGACTCACACAAGCAACACATTCATGATTTGAATAAATTTTTTATTTCCAATTTTTATTCATTCTGAGAATAATTAGAAAATACTTTAATGTGGTAAAATAATAACTTGGTATTTTTTAGTATGTTGGTAACAACTTCAGCTGATACAACTGCTCGAATATGGAATTGTGCTGACTTCAGCTTGTTACAAGAATTGAAACAGACAGAAAGCCAAAGATGGGTTTGGGATGCTGATTTCAGTGCAGATGGACAATATATTTTTACAGGTAAAGTAACTCTTTTTTTCTTTTGAGGAAACAAAATAGTTTATAAAAATCACTGTTATTTGTCACAACAAAATTATTTTGTTAATATTGCACAAAAAAGTGCAAAAAATACCATATTTAACTTAATCCTATCTGTATTAAATCTTTCAGCTTCTTCAGATGGTTGTGCAAGACTGTGGAATGTCAAAACTGGAGCAATGGAAAGGGATTATACAGGACATCAAAAAGCAGTCACAGCATTGGCCTTTAGAGACTCTTCTTGAACAATTTTCATCTTTATTTTAAAAGATGTATTTGGTGTTTTTGATTATACGTTTCTTGGAGTATAATCCAAAATAAAACACAGTTTTTAATTTAAGACAGTTTATTAACTTTTGTACATAGGTACCTTTGTTGTAATATACATTAAGACAAATAAATATTTATAGTTTTCTTTTAATAAAAATACAAGGTAAGTAAGTAACACAGTACACAAAATGGCACCATTTTTTAAGCACAGTTATTATTACATTTTGAAGTTATTTTTCGGGAACAAGATTGTGCAAACTAATTTTTTGTAGGAATACTAACGAAAAACAATTCCACTTTTTCTCCACAAAATTTTCTGTTTTTATATATTTTCTAAATGTGAGTAATTGATTCAGGTTGTATGGATTTCAAAAAATATTAACCCCGCAAAAATCCTAAAAAACAAGGTTTTATGGGGGTTTAAAGATGGTTTACCCAATTTTTAAATGTCGTAAAGGACTCAGTTGCTTCAAATTATATATAAACTATAAAAAAAAACTTGATTTGATTTATTTTGAAATCTATAAAATGAGGAAAATCCTCAAAAACTTATAAAAACAGTTTTTCGGACGTTTGAAGGTGGCTTACGGAAAAAAATAGTAGAAATGTATTTTGAAAGCATAGCTTTCTTATCGAACAGAACGACTAAAAGAAAAAATACTGATAATATATTAAATGTGACCTAAATGGCAATTATTTCAACATCCCTTGTGTATATATCTTAAAAAAAATTATTTTGCACATCTCATTTTAAAATAAGTGTCACAGTAACATTACATAAAATATTTTTGATTTACTTAACAAAGCATAAAAATATGAAACACAAGAATAAAAAAAATTATCCTAAAGAAAGTTATAAAAATATAAAAAGTTAACAAAACAAATTCCTTTCTGCAGTAATTTGAGAATGATTTACTTCCCACCTCAAAACAGATCCGCTTGGTCTATTCCATCGAGCAAAAAGACAAAAGAGGGAATCTAATCCTTATGAAAAGGAGACCAAAAAAGTGGCCTCTGATGGCGGACATATCCGGAAATTCGAATGCGCCAAATTAAAATTTTCCGACACTTATTAACAGTAACTATATAATATTTTTCAGAATGTGTCTTAGACGAGAAAGTTTTAATTAATTATTAACGGTAATAGCCTAAAATGCGACACAATTGTTAAAAAACTTCAATATAAATAAGATTTCATGTGACATTTGGGACAAACAACAACATAACCCAACTAAATTTGATGTCAAACAAGGAGAGAGACTCTCTTTCCTTGTTTAATGTGGCCTCTAAAGATCTCACTTCCTGTCTAACAATATTTTTGCCCCCACTACCTTTACATTCCCTCTTTTGTCTTTTGCTCGATGGTCTATTCGCTCCGTGCGTGACCGACACCTATTGTCTTCATCTGACAGTTTTGGACCTCACAATTTGAGGTTAAACATATGTTAAATACATACGAAATTGACAATTATTATTAATTAGTTTTTTAATTATATTTTTCAGTTTATGTACAAAATAAAGGTAGTATTAAAAACTGTTTTTTTTTTTTAAATTCATCACAATTTATCTTTTCAACCAAAAATGGCGAAGAAAAGAAAAATCTAGTACTGGAAAATCAAGTTTTTTATGTGAAAGAGCGTGTAATTAACATCAATAATAGTAAAAGTTATGATATAAAAACTAAAGTCATCAGGCAGGCTGCAGTTGGCTTGGAGCCTTATGAAATATCATTTAAGGTAAATTTTTTCCTATTTCAATTGCATAAAAATGAAATTATGTGATATTTACTTTTTCATATTAATAGCACGAATCCATCTTTTTCTTTTCTCTAATTTATATGTAATCTTTGGAAACCTATAAAAACTACATTAGTTTTGCTATTATTATCACAATTAAATACGCAACATGTATTTGCACCCATTTTTGATAAAATTTATGTGTAAAAAAATAGGTACAATTTTGCCATATTTCGCCGCTACGCACGCTGTCATAGTTTCAAGGTACCCCTACCATGGTCACACACGGAGCGAATAGTGCATTCTTAAATAGTTGAGATTTTGAAAATTCCTCACTTATTTACTATTCTGATATTTTGGCAATGCTGTAGGGTTCGACGTAGTAAATCTTGAATGACTTACCATGATTTTAGTATGAAAAATACTACAGTATTTGGATATTTTTGGGCTCATAAAACTTTTAACAAAATTACCACAAAAACAAACTGTTCTCCGTAAATAAGAAAAAATCATATCCATACATCAGACCTGAACATTCAAATATGTATTTTTTACAAAAATGACTAGAGCTAGTTCACAAAAATTGTTAAAAAAAAGCATACAATACTTTTTGGTAATATATGAACTTACTATTTTCTAAGCAAATGAGATCCGTCTCCAGCCTATTGAAAAGGAACATAAACTTAATGCAGAATTGCAATTGTGTAATATTGATAATATTCACTGTTTAGTAAATTGTTCGGTACTAGTGTAATAAGCCGGAACCATGTTTACGGAGATGAAATTTATATTAATGAATTCTGCTTCACTTACTAATGATTGTGCAATGACTTTTATGCGGTGCAAGACGTTATTTTTTATATAATTTCCATTTAAAATATGCCCGATTTTTAAAAGCCGCCGCCATTATTCGCCATTATTTACCATGAAACAACAATAAATGACAGGAATGACAACTGTTTCTTATGGTCAAAAATGGTAATTTTACCCAGTGTTGCCATAGTTATTCAAAATTATGTTTTCTAATGAATTTCAAATTAGACATTAAAATAACATTTTATTATTACCTACTTTTAACTGAAAATTATAGCTTTTTTACAAGGGTCAGGTTAGGTTTGGTTACGTTTCTTTACGTTTATTATCATATTTTCTTATGAAAAATAAAAAATTTGATTTTTAATTATATTACAAAATTTTATTCTTATTACTGTTTTTTTACGAGCGTTGGGTTAGGTTAGGTTAGGTTGGTTTAGTTTTATTGCCATGTTTTCTTATTGGGTTAGATTTGGTTAATTGGTTTGCATTTTTAATAATAAAATATAAAGAAAAATATGAAATTAAAACTGGCAACAATGTCAAATGTACATAAAATTTAACGTCTTGCGCATGGCCGCCATATTGTTTAGAAATATTAAATTATTTTGATTATTTTAAACAATTTTACGCATTTTTTCATAATTTTACAGTAAAAATAGTGATATTTAATACGTTTTAGTTACGTTTTTTTATTATGACATGTATATATACTTTTCTTTGTTTTTATGTAATTTTTTTTGGTTCATAATACTTTTTTTGGTATTTTTTCTGATTTTTTTGATTATTTGGGCACTTTTAATAGTTTAAAGCAAAGAAAACATTAAAATTTGAGGGTTTTTTCACTTTTTCGGCTAATTCCACAAAAAATTGGGCATTTTTAAGGCGTTCCGGCTTAGTAAATAATTACCATATTAATATATAGAAACTGGTCGTCTATGGAAATCTTGCAAAATATTCAGAATATACCATAACAAATGAAGATAGTCGCAAATGTCAACTATGAAAGAAAATATTTCGGTTTGGCAGTGTTGGCATGTTTATATAATGTATAATATGCTGTATGCTTCAAATATAAAAAGATAAAGCTTTAGAAAAGTACATTTTTTTGGCAATTGCCCTTTGATAGATAAATGGATAGATTTGGCAATCGTCAAACCACCAGTTGCCAGATTGCAACAAATGTTTGCAATTAATCTTGAAAGAGACAAATATTTGCTCGTTATTACTTTACATAAATTAAAAATTGCAGAATTGATAATATACTTTTTAAAAGCTTTCTCTCCTTATATTTGAAGCAAACATAAATGCATTATAAAAACATCCCAACATAGCCAAACCGAATTATTTTGTTCCATGGTTGACACTTGCGGCTATATTCAACTTGAACCTTCGTTAAAGTTAACCAAAAAAAGTTTAAATTCCGCATACAGCTCATGTTCCGGGTTATTAATTAACGAAACATACATTGACTTAAATTAAAAACATCTGCTGAATTAATCACCAAAAAATTAGATAATACCTTATTTTTTACAGTCCTACAAGACCTTAGAGACTCCTATGGCCAAAGTATTTTTAAGTTTAGAAAATTGATAGTACTGTGTGGCGAAACAACGCAAAACTTGCAGTTGTGTTTCCTAAAAAAAAAGATAAATTAAGTTAGAATGTTGAATATTGGAATTTTTCTAGTAAGTAAATCCCTTGTACATCCTCTTAACTTGACGCTGTATTTTTAGACAGCGCCGCGTTGCCGTATTGTCAGGATAGTACAGAATGTGGCGAATTATGAGATAATGAAAATTTAGGGTTAGTATTAGTAAGTCATCTGTTCAGATGTATATTTGAAGAGAATTAACCCCAGTATAGATTCAAAAAGGAAACAGACACTCGAGAAGCAATCTTAGCTTTAATGGCAGGGGGATACCTAGAGATTCAAAAAAGATTATTAGCATGTTTTTAATTATAAAAATGCTTTCCGTAACATTAAACATGAAAGATTAATCGATGTATTAAAAGCCGTTTTTTTACTGGGTCATGAATCGATTCATGGACCTTAAAAAATCCCGTTGATATGAAGCTATTACCTTGTGAAAGGGTCATCAAAAGTAATACTTTGGTTCAGTTAATGCAATTAACTTGTGTCTGTATGAAACCTTCATAACCTCAAAATCGGTTGACAGTTTAAAATGATTTCGAGTCATCAAAAGGAATTTCATTTTATTCTATTTCCTATTTTTTGTACTGGTTAATAAATCAGTTCCTGGACCTTCAATAATCCCGTTGAGATGAACGTTTGTCTATTAGTTGTATGACAAGACTATTGTTTTTATTTAATACTGTGCTAATAACAAGAAAAGTTCAAATAGATTATACAATCGTAAGCCAGTGATACGGGTTTAAATGAAACTCCAGTGCATTTGCGTGTGTGACCAGAATGTTTATAGCGTTGACAATAATTTACAATATTCTAGTAAGAATTCTGTTTATTTTTGTTATGATTACTTTATCAATTTGATTCGTAATATAAAATTGTAATAAACAGTTGCAAGAGGGCTGGTTACTTCTTTAATAGATTACTTTGAACAAGAACGAAATAATGGCGGGCCTTTTTGCCTTTAAATGCTGTAAGAGCTAAGATTACAATGTTTTTTTATTATTTTAGAGTGTTGCAGGAGCTTTAAAATTAAATGTATCTCATCATCATCCAGCCTCAAAAGTCCTCTGCTAAACATAGGCCTCTTCCCCGTGTTTCCAACCCCATCTATCTTGCGCCACTCTCATCCTAGTCGAAGTGTATCTATTGTAGGAAGTATGGCAGAATGCTATACAACCTTGTGAAAACATCGTATGTATGTATGTTTGATAAAAACAAACATATGTTTTATGCGATATTTTATAATTTTATGGATTAAAACAATGTAAAAAGGTAAAAAAATGTTGGACCAAATTCAAAATAACTTAAAAAGAGGACGATTTTTGTCTGGATGTTATATTTATCTTGCATAAATAATACATTTTACACTCACCCATTTTCTTTAAAGCCCTGACACTATTTTATCCAAAATAAATCCTAGTGAAGTCTCGGTAACCTCTCCACCTCGCCCATTTCAGTAGTTGTTTCGTCGTCCATTACATAACTTACGATAAATTTTAAAGAGATCATCAGAGATTCGGGGTTCGCTATTAATAATATTTGAGTAATGGCTGACGGTGGTAAAAATGGATTGTATGCGGGAAGATCAGTTGATGATGGAGGTTGCAGCTTCAGTTTGCACCCCTAAAACAAAGGGATTTTTTATACAATGGTCCTTTGAGCCAAATATAAAGCCAAATATACAAAAAATATAGTCAGGATGCGCCCAATTTGTGGTTTCAAGTGACTTTATTACAAAAAATTTAGTGTAAAGTGAATCTGTTGTAATTAGTTGGCCCACCATGTAATATTATCGGCCTTATAGAAGCAATGAATGACAGCAGGATTGACCATACGTATAGTGTACTTATTTACACAATACAGTGAAACTTGTATAATTCGAATCTCAAAGGATCGCTAAAAAAATTCGAATTATCCAAAAATTCGAATTAAAAATATATCCACAAAAAACAAAGATGTCTACAAAAACTTCTGCAAATGATAATTGTTATCGCTTGCAGATGTTTTCTGCAGAGATATCGAAATATTTTATCGTTTGCAGAATTATCAAAAAATTCGAATTAAAAATATACCGACAAAAAACAAAGATGCCTACAAAAACATCTACAAATGTTAAAAATCATCAATTTTCGTTACTATTTTTGCCCGAATTTTGTCAACCGAAAAAAAATGGGCCAACAAAATTAGGCCAGAATACCAATTAAAGCATTTGCAAGCTGTAACAAATGGTCAATTATGTCGATTTTTATCATTGTAGGTTTTCTCATTGGTATTTTGAATTATTAAAATAGACTAATTTTTTCCAAAGAAATCCGAAATTTTTAGCCGCTTTTTAGAATTTAACTTCTCGGTAATGACAAACAATTCTAAGATGTTCAGTGAACTAAAAATAGAGTGACTTCTTGAATATAATTTTTACTTTCAAAGTACCGTTTAAGTTGCGTAATATGGTTTGTTGCTTCGGCCGCACTCTGAACGTGTATTTCTCCCGCAACTGATAATGCGTCGTCTTCATCACTCTCTAGTTTTTCATCATTGTCCTCAAGTACTTCAGCGATGATCTCTGCATCGGTTATTTCACCACATACTGCAACATCTTCATCCACGTTGACAAAATATTCATAAGAGATGACAGGATCAGAAATGATGTCCTGTCAACTGAAAGCAGCTCTTCTGTTAAAGTGTCGTCTGCGTTCTCCTCATTTTTTATGAAACCAGCTCTTTTGAAACAAAGAAACTCTTTTTTTACTTGGTCCCAAGCTTTCTTACACATTCGAGATGATTGTAGAATGTCTAACTTTAATTTAAGGGTGTCGCAATCTTCCATCAATACGTTTTCAACCAAAAAACGTCTGTAAAAATGTTTAAAAAATTTTATGACACCCTGGTCCATAGGCTGGAGAACTGAAGTCATGTTAGCAGGAAAAAAAAATAACTTTTACATTTTTTATCTAATTTTTTCAGCCAGTTCTCGAAAAGATCACTAGTCATCCAAGCTCTTGCGGTGCTTACACATTCCACTGGTTTTGACTTGACGTTCTTAAAACAATGCGGATTAGCCGACTTGCCAATCATCAGTAGAGGCAGTCTTTCCGATCCGTCCATGTTTGCACCAATTAGGAGAGTTACTTTTCTTTACTTAGTTTTCCTCCGTGACATTTTTCGTTTTTAAATGCTAGCGTTTTGTCAGCAGTACATTTAAAAAAGAGACCCGCCTCGTCAACATTAAAAATATATCTTTCATCTATACCCTGAATCATCTCCTCCAAATTTGTTTTCCATTGGTTGGCTTCTTGCTGATTAACGGTCCCAACTGTCTAAATTTGGATTTTCTGGCTCCCTTAACCTTTTTCGATTTTTACCGCACTCACTTTCACTGTTGAGAATTTTTTCTTTATTCTTCAAGTAGGTGGATAATGTGTTAGGAGGAATTCCAAAGTCCCTGGCAATCTCAGATTTTTTCTTCATCCTCTTTTCTACTTCTTTAATTGCCGCTATTTTTCCGACAACGTTAAAGTTTTGTATGTTTTCGTATTACCATGCGACGACATCTTTACTCAATACGAAGTGACTTATTGACGTGATTTGCGCCAACGCATCTCAACTGAAGGGACGTGCCAGATGGAGTAGAATTTAGGTGACAGGTACGGGTACAATGTACAATGGCCTTGAAACAAGTGGCACGTTAGAACAGAAAAGAATACTACCTCTTCGCGAAAATTTCCAGCATGAAATTGGCATTTTTACCTTCTAGAAAAGTTCGAATTATCCAAAATATAATTCGAATTATTCACGACTTGACGAAAAAGTGAGTCACGACATGACACATAAAAAAGAAAGGAATAACACACAGTGGTGTATACAAACTTAAATGTGGTGACTGTCCAAAAACTTACATCGGTCAAACTGGTAAAAATTTTAATAAACGAATAGCAGAACATAAAAGGGCTTTCAATAATAGAAAAACAGATTCTACATACGCACTTCACCTTCTAGATCATAATCATTCTTTAATGACGAATTTAAAATTCTTCACATTCAAAATAAAGGCCTTAAGCTATATTTGTTAGAATCTATGGAAATTAACAAATTAAAAAACACAGATATAATTCTGAATGACCAACTTGAGACAGTTTTCCCCTCCTCAACCTATTTCATTAAAGACTATAAAGTCTAAGTGCATCCCAAAAATAGATCACTTGAGAAAGGCAATCAGCCGAAAAAGCTTTAGTGATAAGATTTTATAATAAATTTTGTGGAAGTTTTGAAAACAAAGTTTTCATTGTTTTATTGTTATATGAAATATTAATAACTTACCTTGGGAACAACAGCTTGGAATAAGTAACTGCTCAAAGGCGCTTCATTTTTACTAACAGTTGTAATTACAAAAACGTTAACTCCGTCCTTTGGTTCATCTCTGGCCATGTGCAACGTCACAGTTATGCCATTCTTCTCATCCAGAATCACCATCGGAGGTAACCCACTAGGTTTAATACTTTTCAAGTCAATGAAGATATCATTCAGCTTCACCTCAGGCTTAACAAATTTTTCCGACACCGTATTCTGTTCGATGGAGCCTTTTTCCAGTTTTGATATGGCAGATAAGGTGTGTATAGCATCTGAATCTGGATTCTTATCGACTTCCAACATAGTTTCATCAGTTATGTCAACTAAATAATCGTCAGATGTGTCGTTACATTTATTCAGTTCGTTGCTGGTTAAGTTGGTGTCATTTTTGGTATTCAGCAAGTAATTTAAATCAAGGTTTAAAGATTCCATATTGTTTGATGGCAGATTTGAAGTTGTTTGCTGGTTTTGTTTTATTTCAGATATTTTGTTTAATAGGTTCATTGGCACCTTTTCAGTGTTAGTTCTAAAAATGAAAAGTTTATTTATTTAAATGTACTTAGTAATTAGTATGGGAAAAAGAAAACTCTTGAAAAAGAGTTTCATAACTGATGATTTGCACCAAGAAAAGCAAAAATAACCATTTTAACCAAAAAAGTATGAAATATATAAACTAAAAGTCGATTATGTTAAGGAAGTTAACCAATTGGGTAATAAAAAGCTAACAATTATTGTTTCCACACATGAGGTATATTGTCATTCATTATTATATATATATATATATATATATATATATATATATATATATATATATATATATATATATATATATATATTGATATGATCCGAAAATGTATATAAAGAAAATTAATAGAGAAAAAGAGGAAAACACAAAACTGTTTGTAAAATCATGTTATAGTTATATCGTATTTAGATTACGGTTTAATTTTGTTGTGTTGATATCAAATCTACCTGCATTTTTTCAAGAATTAACTTCGAGTACCACCAAACAAGTCATTAACGGTATAAATAGTGGAAAAGTGGAAAGTCTTTGTCTGATATTTTTGTACAACATTTTGGGAATTGGAAAGTATTGGCGTTTTTGGAGAATTGAGTCGAGGATGTCTGATTTGTCACCAGAAAATTATGAAAAGGATTGAGAGCCGAGGATTTTAAAAGAAAAAAAAGGTGATCACCTGCTGTTTGGATGGGATGAAAAAAAGATTAAATTGACAAGTGTTTGTTTGTTTTTTAAACGTTATAAAAAAATTAGTAAAAGTATAGAATTTGTGAAAGTAGTGGTGTCAGTAAGTTCTGAAAGCTGATTTGCCGGATGAAAAGGGTGCAAAATTTGTAAGTACCAATGCATTATTATTCCCGGAGAGATTCGTAATTAAGCAGAGAAGGGCAATCCCAAAAAGAGATAGAAACGTGAGTCAGGACTGTTTTTTTTTTATCGACAGGACTGTTTTTATAAGCAGAACCAGGGAAGGACTTTTTCAACAGAGAATCAATCATTTTAATAAAGTGCAGAGAAAAATTTACTGAGACGATACAATATATTGAACTAATTTTCCTATTGTAATTTTTATGTAAAAGCTATATGTTTTGGGAAACATTTATTTTAAGGGATTTCATTATTTGTATAAACAGTTTTAAAAGGTTTATTTTATTATATTTTAATTGTATTGTACAAATTTGAGTTTTTTTTATTTATTCCTTTTACCCCTCTTCTTATTGAATACTATTGAAGATAAAGGTATTTTTTGAACTCTGATAGAAACCCTGAGATAAGAAAACATGTGAATTAAAAAAAAATTGGCGTCTTGAATACAATTTAATTCGATATTCGTAATAAAATTCATTAAATAATTTTGTTTTGTTTTAATTAACTAATTGGGATCATAATTAATTTACAGCCTGGGTAATAATCTATCGTCAGTATGGACCTTACGTGAGATGAAGTGAGAAACACCTGTTTAATAAAAAGAGAGAGGAATATTAGGTCCGCTCTTTATATCGTTGAAAACGCATTAGTGGAAATAATAAAAGAGAAGTTCAACATTGCCAAACTTATTGGTTTTATTTGACTTGTTGTCTTTTTAGCATTTGAACAATGTTCTTGATGTTTTTTATTGGAAATATGCCACAATTTTACTTTATAATAAGTTTCATTTAACATTTTGATTTCCACTTCGGAAATCGTTTTATATAAATAAAATTTATTAATGCTTCTTTTAAAGTCACATTGTGCCTTATTCCCAATAAAAATAATAAACTGCATTATGACGCCACAATAAAAAGCTTCATACAAAATTATTTGGCAATGTTGCGTCGTCAAAGTAACGACACTTTGATTTTAATACTGTGGTAACGAGCAGAACAGAACTAGTTTGGTATGCCATGCATGCTGCATGGGTTCGTGAGTTGGTCTTTCATAAAGCATAATAAATAAAGACAGTATTAGTAAAGCATTAGGAAGAAGTATGTGTATTATATTAAATTTAAACTTGAAGAAAAATTCTTCAAGGAAAAGCCTTTTAATTATAAATAAGATATTTGATATTTTCCAAATATCTTTGAAACCATATTTTCGTTTAGATTGGAGGTAGTAGGTGTGAAAATAAAAATTAGTTCTATAAAAATGAATCAAAAAGAGATAAAATAAGTATAAAAGTATAAAATGTGTTCTATAAAAATGAAATCAAATAAAAAATAATTCCAAAACTACTGTTTAAATTAGAAATAATTCCAAACAATTGGAAATTCTAAACCAAATAACATTCTAAGGTAATTAAATGTTTAAACAGACCACCAATTTGTAACGAACAGTAAGCAAATCTATTATAAAATGCATTTCTCATGGCATTAAGTTCATCTGACAATATGTTTTGGCTAAGTTGGATTATCTTTTCCTTCAGTTTATAGTTTTTATTTCTTATCAGTTTTATTATCAATACCCCTATGAAGTTACCTGCTAAACCCAACTTGCCTTAAGCTTTGTAAATTTTCTCTTAGTAAGTGATCTCCAAGAACATCAAGATCATCGAAGCCTGAAGGTTTTGGCTTTTCTTTGCTGCTTTCACCTAAAACGGTGGTATCTAAAAAGATTAACATATCTATATTACATATATTTATTAAACATTACATTTAAAGCTGGAAAAGTACTGTTCTTTACCTTGAACAGTTTAAATTGTATGTGATCATACTCACCACATTTTCCTAGAGTGACAGGCTGCAAAACATCTCCAGAATCTGGTATAGCAGATGCAGTAAAAATATCACATAGGACATCAATTGATTTTTCACTATCACAATTTTGAGCCATTTTAATTTTGCCATCAATAAGTGACCCTTTGGAACTGGTGCTATCAAACTGAAGAAGACATTCAGCAGAATCTGGCTTTTCTGGCAAATGTTTCTGTTGAACAATCAGTATGTTATATTTATCAAAAGTTGTTGATAGTTCGTCGTTAGTTTTTAAAATGTCATCTATAACAAAACACATTTCGTTTAAAAACAACAAATATGTACAATGAACTACTTAATAAGTATAGTTTACCTAACATTCCTTCTTCGTGATGGGTTTCTAAAATTAATTTATTTACTGAAGGCCTTAAACGTTCACAGTTTTGATACAATTCTTTAATAAGATCTAGTTCACCACTTGAAGAATATCCTGGTTTATATGAATCCAGCATTTCATTTAAGAGTCTAACATTATTTTGAATAGATTCTAGTTCTGAAACTCTTCTACTTTTTAACTCAGCTCTTTTGTCGTCCTAAAATATTATTAAAGATATATTATGGTTCCTAAATGGATGCAAATGATCTAACATTCCACTGCTTGAAATTCTCTGTGATTAATTAAATTGTGCATGATACAAAATTTCATTACTTACTTCTTTAACCATACTTTTTATTAACCAATTTGCAGCTTGAATGTCCTCTGGATCTTTGCTCTGTAATAACTTCTGTAATATTTTTGATTTTTCCTCATCTTGGAATACAGAATTTGCCACTTTTCTTTTTGGAACACTGCTAGCATCTAAGGAAGGAACATTTGGATTCGGAATATCCCTCACAACCCCTTGCTTTCTCAGCATATCAAACGCTTCGATAATCTTAGTTTCTTTGGGATAATCTAATGTCCAAACATATAGTAGTTGTAAGATTTTTTGTTTGACAGTTAAAGGTGTTTGAGAACCTAAATACTTTGGTGAAACCAATTTAATCAATTCGTTTAAAAACCTAAATTTTCCTACTTCGTTTTGAAAGTTTACGCCGCACTTGGACATGCAATGATCTAAAACATTCAGTGTCTGTAACATTTCCTTTTCGTCGCCTGTAGGTAGGCGAGCAGCGATGACTTTAACGCCAACGTGAGGACCATCCTTTTCCTTATTAATCAAGGTACAAAATGCATCCACAGCAACTGTATCGAAATTCAGGTTTTTGGAATTCGTAGCTTTTACTAAAAATTATAGTGCCAACAATGTTCTTTTAACTCTTTATTATACTTACGTAGTAATGCTTCTAGGCTTGTTTGAGTGACCAGATCCATTTCAATGGTTTTTTGATAGTTATTGTTTTATCTTTAATAACGAACTATCATTTTAAACGACTTGTTTAACAAATTAAAAAATGTTTATAAATTCGTTAACATTGACAGTGACATACGTTCAGTATTGTGTACGTTCATTGATGAAATATCAGGGATGCATAAAAAAAATAAGAGTAGAGAGGCCACTAATACAGAAGAATTACCTGAAGTTAGAGACACTTGTGGGAATGATAGCATAGAACACGATACATTGTTTAAGTGTATCGTGGGATATAATATCACAGTATAAATAACAACGTTGTTTTTTATACTGTGATAATATAAAGAAGATAGAATGACAGAAACAAAGAGAAACATAAATTCTAAGTAGTGTCTAGAGCCTGACCACTATTCTGTGCAGACTTGCGCAGTTCATTTGTGTCCACATCTAAATGTGACAATCAGTGACAATGAGGTTTATGTGTATTGTTGGTTGCATAAAAATAACTTTAAAATTAATAGTAAATAATAGCAAATCAAAATAGCAAATAATAATAGCAAATCAAAATTAAAGGTTTTTTAAAATAGTTTTAAAAACTATTTTAAAATATACTTTTTGCGCATTGTTTCCAATAAAAATTTGTTATTTTATATACAGGATGTTGACTGATGTTATATATCAATACTATACCACAGAATAATAAACAAACAGAAGGGCCACTCTCAGATGCCGCCTTTGAAGTTTTTCAGCACGCGCGCCATGTTTTAGGAGGACACAGACATATGATTTGTGTGGTTATGTAATTGTTTATATTCAATGACGTATAATATATAGACTACGCAGTCCCCTATTCTCGCTATAGAATCGAGTGTCCGAAAGATCTCGGCTCAAGGTTGAAGGTATGTTTATTAGAACAGCGGCGTGCTCATTTATATGTTAATGACAATAATTATTTTTTTAATTAAAATTAAATATTTATGATTTCTTTTTGTTCCCGTCTATAAGAGAAATAATTATTTTGATAAAATAGTATGGCATTTTACTAAAATAGTAAGTAAATAACTATCAACAATTTAAAATAAAATTTGCTTGTCACACAAAATGGAGTACGTCCATGATGTTTTCAAACACAAGATCAACTTCGTGATGCTTCGTAAGAAATCATGAACTTCGTGCATCTTCGTATCAAAACAATAAACAATAACAAAGGTATTCATGTTTTGGACACTTTTTAAAGCGTTCACCGAGTCTATATATTATACGTCATTGTTTATATTTATGTTTGATTATATTATATTTATGTTATTATATTTAACAATGTTAATATAATTGTATTGTATGTCTTTGATTGCCGTAAGTCAAATAAACCTGGTTAATTTTTCCATGCACACCACATAAACAACACTAATTTCTTTAAAATCCTCCTAAAACATGGCGGAACTCTGCGCGGAGGAGATGCGCGTACTTAATTTTCCGTGGAGAGTGGGTATTCTGTTTGTTTATTATTCTGTGACTATACCAACTTTCTTGGTGTTCTCACCTATACCTGGTGTTCCATCTAAAGTGTTGACACATTCAGAAATGAATACAAATGAACTGCGCAAGTCTGCACAGACTATCAATTTTTTCGTATTTTTCTAATATGTATTAGATATGTTCCTTTGCTTTCTGGTGTAACACCAAAGAATATAGACGCATAGAGGTGTCTATATTCTTTGGTAGCACTTTTAAGTATAAGCTACAGTGGCTAGGGTCAAACGAAAATCATGATAGTGTAGTTCGTGCTGTACTGTTTGCTCTTTCAGGGTTAAAATAATTTTACAGAAGAAAATTGTGACTTTGACAGTGACATCTTCTACTTCTAGGTTATGTTATGGCAATAACCTTAGATAATTTGAATAACAATGTTTAGTACTTTAAGGAAATGCAAAAATCGTAAACTCTTTACTAAACTTTATTACACAAGGCATTTTTCCACCGAAAAACACTATGATGTTATCATCGTGGGGGGAGGTCATGCGGGTAGTGAAGCATGCAGTGCCGCCGCAAGAATGGGGGCTCAGACGCTACTTATTACTCATAAAAGAAGCACGGTAGGTAAGTGTTGGATTAATGTGCGTAATTTGGAAATTCATTTCACTGCTTCTTTTTAGGTGAGATGTCTTGCAATCCCTCTTTTGGAGGAATCGGCAAGGGCCATTTGATGAGAGAAGTTGATGCATTAGATGGTGTTTGTGGGAGAATCTGTGATATATCAGGAATACAATATAAAGTAAGCAGTTTTAAATTTATGTATCTTCGCTGTTTCTTAGATCTTGGTAGCTTCTACAATTGGTTATTAGCCTTGCTACATTATTGACCTAATATCTTATAATTGAAGGGGTCAGAAGCAAAACCGCCTAAGTAGCAAAATACACATTTTGAGAAATAAAGCATCAAAGTTTTTGCTCTTTTAAAAATTCTGGATGATCAAAATTAAAAATTTTAAAGTATTAAACAATTCAAAATAAGTATAAAATTTTAAAGATACTTCTGGTGAGAAATTATTTTAGTTTTTTTTATCTCTTTCAACAAAAAAAATGCACTTAGGTTGTTTTACCTTTAAGCAAAAATTGATTTATAATACACAAAAAGAACTAAACAAAAGCTTAATTTTCAATTAATGTTTATTTTTTCTTAAAAAAAAAATACAAATTTTACTTTTTTATAACACCAGAGTTATTCATAATCTGAGAAAAAAAACCTATGTAGTCGTCTTGTTCGATGTTGGCATCTTCTTTGGAAGACTTAACAGCAGTGCTTCCTTTTTTCATTGTGTTTTTTTGCTGCTTTGACTCCTGCGGCAAATCATTATAAAATTGATGGTAAATGGGGGTATGAACTCTAGCAGCTGTTATAAATTTTGCCATTTTTGATACTTAAATTGTCTCGTACTTCTTTTTTCGTCTTCAGTTGATGATGATATTAAGTTTACCAACCGATCGCATTTATAACAAGAGTTGAATGAGGATGGTGAAATTTTAAATTAAATTCAGTATTAAAAATATAATCCCTCATCCCTTCCTGGGGGTTCATCGTTATCAGTGCAATTATTATCTTTGTAAAGACCATACATTTTGCGAATGTTTAAATCGGACAAAAGGTATTTCGTATTTGGATTTTGATTATAAGAGTAATGACTCCTATTACATAGTAATGATCTGATATATTTAATCACTATTTTTCTTGCGTTCTCTGATACTTTGTTGGTTGGGACATATTTTCTTCTTTTATCAGGCTCCACAAAATTGTTTTTGTTAACTTTTTTACACATAACCTTAAAGCGACTGTCTCTGATATCAAAAGTTTTTAGTAAAAAGTCTACATACACGGCGGTTAAGAAGTTTAATTTCTGTACTGTAATTTTTTTGCTATTAGCCAGTTTTTTTTAGGTTCAGTTTTTCTGATGTATGAAGCTAAAAAAGCTGTTTGCAGGTTGGTAAACTGTCCAACTTAGAGAAGTCGTTTACTTTCAATGTCGTTAAATATTCCACATTGGTACCTATGCGTATGCATATACCTTACAGTTATGTAAGTACATAACTGTAAGGTAGGTACTACATTTACCAGTATTTACCAGTTTAATATTTACATAATAAATTAATTTTTGTTAGGGATTTTACGCTTAAATTAAAACTAACAAGCTAAAACACACACTTTTATTACTCAAATATTATACTCCACATGTGTGCTTATAGTTGCTTCCTCGGCAGATATTACAGAATTATCGCTGTCGTTATCTTCTTCATATTCACTCGGAATAAAATCAGATTCTCCATCTGTAGCCTATGGATCACTATCTGACTCTAAAAATAATATCAAAACTCAAAAAACATGATCCAAATATTATAATGACAAATTATATCATTTCTGCAAACAATAGTATCACTTGAAACACTTCTGTTAATCTACTAGAGAAGTATAACCTACACGCCATAAACAAATCCAAACCGTTGAGTGGAACCCAAACATCATAAGTAATAAAAATATATTTATATCCAGCCGCTTGTTTGGAGGTAAAACAGCCTAGGTGCGCTAAGGCGATTTCTGCTCTTAACGATTGGAGAATTTCATTTTGGTTGTTTTTTCTATTCATCAAAAGATGGCGATAAAGTAGGGTTAGAGCGTAGTCGATTTTACTACCAAATAATATAAGATATTCAGAACGTGAAACATCACTAAAGTCGTTTTGGTGAAAATTTTACTTAGGCGGTTTTACTTCTAACATCTTCAATTAAATCTTTTAATGATAATATGAATTGTGTAGGTTCTCAATAGGAGTAAGGGTCCAGCTGTTTGGGGTTACAGAGCCCAAATCGATAGAGATTTATACAGACAAAACATGCAAACAGAACTGTTTGCCAACACTTCTAATTTAGATGTTCTCGAAGCACCGGTAGAAGATTTAATAGTTGACAGTCCAACTACAAATTCCAATGGGCAAAGTTGTATAGAATGCAAAGGTGTTATTTTAAGTAGGTCTGCAGAAATAACTTTATGTTTTTTGCTAACTTTTGATTTTATGTTTAGAAAATGGTACAAAAGTACATTCAAAGAGTGTGGTTATAACAACAGGGACCTTCTTGAATGGACAAATAAATATGGGTTTAAAAGTTTATCCAGCAGGTAGAATAGGAGACGAACCAGCTATAGGTGAGTTCATTTTTAGAATTGAATTAACAAATTATATAGGTATACTAGACTTCTACTTCATTTGCAAGTAATTTATATGGCTTTAGTTTCTAAATATTGTTTCAAAATATCTTTTAAGGATTAGCAAAGACATTAGAATCTTTGAAATTGAGGATGGGCAGATTGAAAACAGGAACTCCACCCAGATTAAAAGCAGATACAATAAACTATGGTGTTTGTGATGTACAGTATGGGGATAATCCACCACTTCCATTTTCATTCATGAATGACAAAGTGTGGATAAAGGTATGTTATTGGTATTGCAAATATATAACATTAAAGCTTTGTTGTAAGATTTTGTTGTTACCAACTTGTGCTGCAGTACAGTGTCTAAGTGAAAGTGTATATTTTCTGCTTTATTTCTGCTGTTAGTTATTTCTTTTCAAGATATCTTATAAAGAAAATAGTTTGTGCCAACAGCCAAAACTTTCTCAGCTATCTTTGGTTACTTATGAATGCAAGGGTGCCAGTAGAAATCAAGAGGATAATGAAAGAAAAAAGTTTGAAGAAACAATTCGATGCCATCTTATTTTTAATTAGGTAGATATATAGATAGATAGATAGATAGATAGATAGAATTTATTCATCTGCAAAGTTTACACAATTATTACAGAAAAAAAAAGGTTCTTACAAAGGTTTAATAATAAACAAGAAAATCTGATCACAATGAGAGAAAAAAAATTAATTACTAGAAAAGGAAAGAAAGCTAAGCTAAAAGGAAAAAAGATTTCATGTATTGCTTATTCAATTAGTCAATACTTATGAAGGTAAACCTTTATAGAAAACCACTGTATGAATGATTTGTAATTTCAGTGTCAACCACTTCAATTTGTAGAAATTGGCCAACAGTAACTTATATGGGGTTATATGGGGTAAAATTACCAACTGGAAAAACAAAGCAAAGAACAGAACAGAATGGCGGAAAATCCTAGAACAAGCCAGGACCCAGAAGGGGTTGTCGAGCTACTGATGATGATGAACTTATATGGGGTAATAACCCTGGCTTTATTTGTAAGAGATCTAAATTTGATATGATATGATAGATATTGATAATTTTAGTAAAGTAGTACGTTTTGCAGCCTGAAGATCAATTAAAGTGCTATCTAACAAAAACAACATTGGGCATAGAAAAAATCGTTAGGGATAATCTTCATGTAAATAGACACGTCATGGAAGAGATCTCAGGCCCGAGATATTGCCCTAGTATAGAATCCAAAGTTCTCAAGTTTTCAGGAAGGGAACACCAAGTTTGGTTGGAACCTGAGGGCCTCACTAGTGACATAATCTATCCAAATGGTCTGTCTTGTACATTACCGGAGGAGTTCCAGTGGGATCTCATCAGAAATATAAGAGGTATGACTTTACATTGGCATTAACCATAATTTTAATTCTAAATACATTTAAATTCACGTTTCGATTTGTGAAGTGTAAATCAAAACATCAAAGCAAACATATTTTCGATTAAATTTGTGGTACATTCCCATTAAATATAGTACATTATAAAAATGCTTTCAGAACCACTAGTTCACTTTCTTGAAAGTACAACCATGTATGCAACAATAGTATTAAACTACTCAGAATAGTCAAAAGGCAACATTGTGACATCGCATCTAAATTTATAGGTCTGGAAAATGCCGTTATTGTAAGACCGGGTTATGGGGTGGAATATGATTTTGTAGATCCAAGGGAATTGATGCCCAGTCTGGAAGTCAAACGAGTAGGGGGCTTGTTTTTAGCCGGTCAAATAAACGGCACCACCGGATATGAAGAAGCTGCTGCTCAGGGTGTTTTAGCTGGGATAAATGCCGGGGCAAAGGTAACAAATAACTTTGCTTTTAGATTATTTGTTGAGATATCCTTTCTTTAGTAACAGATTCACAATCTGCATCTAAATGATACACTTTCAACACATAAGATTGTTTTCCATTCAACTTATAATCTCGTAATACTTGAATATGTTGATCGTCCTTATAAATCTTTCATTGTTATTTTTCCTTTAGGCATTAAAGAGAGATCCTCTGATAGTAAGTCGCACAGAAGGCTATCTAGGTGTAATGATTGATGACCTAACAACTCTAGGCACCACAGAACCCTATCGAATGTTCACCAGTCGAGCCGAATTCCGTCTTACGCTGCGGCCGGACAACGCAGATAACAGATTAACCCCCAAAGGGTACACTATGGGTTGCGTCAGTCGACAGAGGTACGAAAAAACGCTTAAAGTACAGGAACAACTTCGAGACGGCATTCAGTTGTTGAAAGAAGTTTCCAAAACGTCTCACCAATGGAGGAATCTATTACGACTGTCGCCCAGCAAGAGCCATTTACAAAAGAGGTAAGTGCATAGTTCGTCTCACGACCTTTTAGACTTTTTTTAATAAACTGCAGGGCAGAGGTCAAACCAGGGAATTTTATTATGTTAAATGCATTATAGAAGAATGTATTTACAGATATTTTCAAAGGTCCTCTATTAACTGTTGCCAAATTTCAATGCTATGGCGTTCTGCTAATGGGACCATGATTGTAACTTTGGTACATGATATACTCAGTTTAAGTCATCACTTAAACCTTATTTTATTTTAATTCTTGTATTTTAGCGCTTTTAGTATGATAGACCCAAATAGAGAAAAAATAACTATCAGCCTGTTAGCATCAGTGGCGCCAGAACTTCAACCACTAACCGCAGATAGTACTTTAGAAAATAGACTTCATATTGAAGCCATGTACGAAGCCGCTGCTCAAGAACAAGCTGAAGAGGTGCGGGAAGTACAAGAGAATGAATCTCTGGTGATACCAAGGAGTATGGATTATACGTTAGAAAGTCTGAACCTTAGTTTTGAGGAAAGAGAAAAGTTGTTGATCGTACAACCGCAAACGGTATGTAATTTTTTATACTTATTTCATAGAGCAGTCGAAACAAACCTAATTAAAGTAGTAGATCTAATAAAAATGTCGTTATTCGGGACTTTAGCCACTTTCGCGGAATATTATTATACATAACCCAACAACAATGCCATGCACTGATATTTATGATTTGTTAAATATGGTTGAATTGACAACCAGCGTCATTTAAATGCAAATTCTATAATCTACTGTAATTGTGATTTTCTCGATGGCTCAGCAGAAAGTAACTGCCCTACTCTGTACATTAAACATAGATCTTGGACCGTTTGGACGTACGAAAAGTGAAGAGCAACATCAAAACGTCGCTTTTTCAATGATTCTGACGTTTTTTTAATGCTCTAACGCTTTTAAAGGGAGTTCTCAAGGTCAACACACTTTATTCACACCCAACAAAATTTTCCCATTCTCAACAAAATTTTCCTATGGCCAATCGACTCAATCTCTATATTAACCTTTCTGAATTTGGTAAATAAACTTTACGCATAATTTTGTAATATATTTCTTTTATAAATGCATTTTTTTGTCTTTTTAGATTGCTGCCGCTAGTAGAATACCTGGAGTTACACCCTCATCTTTGTTTAGGCTACTGAGATTCGTGAAACAAAATGTTAACTGTGTAAATGTATAACAACAATGTGAAATATGTGTTAAATAATGTTAAATCATAAAAAATATTAATAAACGGTATTTCACTTAATTCTTGTGTTTTAATTGAAATTGGTAAAAAATCTCATTTCAATTTGAAAAATAACCCAGAAATGGCAAATCAGCATCACATCCGGATGATCCTGCATAGACGCCGTATTTGTACTAAGACAAATCACGGAAAAAAACATCGAGTACAATAAACCAGCATAGCTATGTTTTATAGACCTGACAAAAGCTTCCGATCGCATCCAAGTCGAAGACGTCTTACACCTACTGTATAAAAGAAACATACCAATCAATATTATAGAAACCATATGCAACATCCACTTCCATAAATAGATATACTTCCCAATATAAAGAGAAAGAAAACGCACCAAAAGCAAGAATTCAAAATAGGCATAATACAGATGCAGGTGAGATGAAAAAATTTATTGGTATTCTCTTTTGGATTGGTTTAAATCAGTTTCCACACTGGAGTGTTATTGGTCTCAAAATACATTATACCAAAATTCTATACGTTCAATAATGGCAAGAAACCGGTTTCAAATATTGTTGATGATGTGGCATTTTCACAACAATGAAGAAATAACTTACAAAAAAAACACCTCTCACGAATGAACTTCCGAAAAATTTTCGAAAACATTACACCCCAAAAGAGACTTTGTGTATCGACGAAACTATAGTCCCTTTTAGAGGGCGTTTAAATTTCAAGCAATTTATTAAACGTAAGAGACACACTGTATAAACTTTGTGTTGAAAAGGGTTATACCTACAACTTAACAGATTATTGTGGACAAGACAAAGTAGAAGGTCAGTCGTCTTCTGAAAATATAGTTCTTACACTGGCAAAAGATTTATAGAACAAAATATGCACTATTTATACCGACAATTACTATACCAGTATTTCTTTAGCTCATTCATCAAAAGATATTACTTATACAAAATCAACTCAAAAAAGATGAGACAGTAGCTGCTAAAAGTAATACTGAGATAGTAATTTAAAAATGGAATTACAAACGTGATGTTTTGACATTGAGCACAAAACATACTTCAGAGCTTCTACAAGTTACCTCTGGGCGCAAGCAAACGGAAAAACCGTCCACTGCTGTTAATTACAATAATCATAAAGTTTTTATTGACCTATCTGATCAGATGAAAGCTTATGCTACTTTTTTAAGACGAGGCGTGAAGTGGTAAAGGAAATTAGCTGTCGAACTAGCCGTCGTAATTAACCTCCATTGCCGCAGTATGTGTTAGAAGATGTTGGTCGAAATGGAAGACTCAGATATGTGTTGAATGATATAAAAATCTGAGTGGAGCTGGTGGTCGAACAGAAGCCCAAACAAATACGCCATTCACAAAATTTAGATGCAATATTTGTCAAAAAAGTTATTGCTTGTCTTGTTTCTTTGCAGTTCATCAGTGTACTAAATAAATGTATTTTTTGGTTAAATTTATTGTATTTTTTTATAATAATATCGTTTTTATCTTTGTAGTACAATTCTTAATAAATAAATAATAAAATGTGTGTTTCTTTTTATTTTTATATAGTTTTACAATCATGTGAAGCCACATGTTACTCAGAGGCCAAATGCATTTTCTTGTTCTTACAGCCAATGTACACATGTTCCTTAAGCGTTGAATAGCATATGCGGCTTCACATAGTAGTAACTGGCTTCACACTGCCAGAAAGTCAAATTTGCTGTGATGTCGCAATGGCATCTCATCGCAGCGAAGGTGTTACAACAGGTTTCAAATTGTAATACACATACCCAGGTTTCTACTATTATATTATTTATCTATGGTAATAGAGCATTGTAATAGAAACTCAACAAATCGTATTGTGAGATTATTAGGAATTAATATTAACAATATATAGACTACAGAGACAATACTCGGATTTTATGTTTATTTCCTTTAAATATACCGGTATGTGTAGTTTCCGGGTTGAAACGCGTTGAGTTTGGGTACACCAGATATACTCAAACCCATAGTGAGTACTGTGAAACAAATATACAGTTCTTTCCTAAATTTAATTTTTTAAAAATTAAATAATACTGCCATTGAATTTATTTTTATAACTACAATTTTATTAATTAAAAATTTAAACTGCTGTAAGTTGTAGGTTTTTAACCCTAGAAAGGTGGACTATCGTAAATTTGACGACGCTCCTCGGTTTTCGTCGCAGTTCGGGTGCAGTCGCGTAACCTCTGCCCATACACTTCTCAGTAGCTGTTTCTTTAGTCTTGATTTAACAGGCGGTGAGTGTGTTTCTCCACTACTGTATTTATGTATTAGATTTTTTGAGGGCACGTCGTCAATTTTACGAAAGTCCACCTTCTACGTTAGTTTTTTTCTCTCAAGTTTATTTGGACGCCGGTGACGTTTTTGGTAAGTCGTTATCTAATTCTTTTTTATATTTGTAGTAAATATTATTTTATTTAATTGTAGCACTATGTCATCACGAAAACCTTTAACGGCAAGTGAAATAAACGATGAAATACAGCGTATAATGAATGGTGAAGATAGTGAGCAGGAACCTTTTGAAGATAGTGAAAGTGACTGGGAGTTAGAAGAAGATGCTTTGGAGTTTGAATCGGACGATTCAGATGAAGAAGATGACTCTAAAAATAGTGGTAATTCCAAAATTTTCCAGCCATCCAGTGTATCCAGTTCATCTGTAAATTTAATGGATGCAGATATAGAAGCAATAGTGATGGAAAGCGAAAAATCTACAGAAGAAGTACCTGGAACATCAGGTGAGAACTCCACTGTTTCTCAGTTTATTGTAAATCCGGGAAAGGCTCTAAAAGGTAAAAACGGGCATAAGTGGTCAAACAAAATACCTTCATTGTCAAAAAGAACGGCAGCTAGAAATATTATTCATTTTATAGCTGGTCCCAAAGGAAATGCCAAAAACTACACAAAAGTTGAAGAATATTTCTTACATTTTTTTTCAGAGGATATATTATGTCGTACTCTGTTACACTCAAATACTGAAATTACAAGACAATCTAAAAAATATGCCAGTCGTCCTAATATTTCTGACATGAGTAAAAATGAGCTACAAGCTTTATTGGCAATTTTGATAATGTCTGCAGCAAATAAAGACAGTCATCTATCTGTGAAATATATGTTTGACAGTAATATATCAGGAAAATTTTATCAGGCTTGCATGAGTGGTCAGCGTTTCAAATATCTAATAAACTGTCTTAGATTTGATGAAAAGGAAACACGAAAAGAAAGGCAGCAAGATGATCCTTTTGCGCATATACGCGAAATATGGGACATTTTTATTACCACCTGCAGAGAATCATATACACCTTCATCCTATCTGACTATTGATGAACAGTTAGTAGGATTTCGAGGACGTTGCCCTTTTCGAATGTATTTACCTGATAAACCTAATTCGTATGGTCTCAAAATCGTAATGATGTGTGACAGCTCTTCGAAATATATGATCGATGCTATTCCTTATTTAGGCAAGAAAACCAATACAAATGGTTTGCCGTTGGGTACATATTTTGTAAAGGAACTTACAAAATCAGTTCACGGTAGTAACAGAAATATTACCATGGACAACTGGTTTACATCAGTTAGCTTAGCAGAGGAGTTACTAAAAGATCAGTATAAACTGACAATTATCGGAACTCTTCGCAAAAATAAAAGAGAAATTCCACAGGAATTGTTAAATGTAAAGAACAGAGTCCCCAATACATCTATGTTTTGTTTTGATAAAAGAAAGACATTGGTATCATATATGCCAAAGAAAAATAAGGTAGTTTTACTTCTTTCAACACTTCACGAAGGTGCTGATGTTTCCAAAATAAATGGCAAACCCACTATAATAACTGATTATAATGGAACAAAAGGCGGAGTGGATACATTTGATCAAATGTGTTCGAATATGAATGCGGGTCGTAAAACGAGGAGATGGCCTTTGTGTATCTTCTATAATATGATAAATATTGCAAGTATTAACTCGTATGTTATTTACACCACAAACACATTAAAAGCAAACAGAAAAGTTTTATCCAGATACGAATATATGGTTGAATTGGCTCGTCATCTCGCCGAACCCTGGCTGAGAGAACGATTGTGTATTCCAACTTTACGTCGAAATCTTAAGCAAAATATTAAAGATGTCCTCAAAATTTCCGAAGAAGTTGAACGTCCGTTACCTGAAAAAAAGAAACGCAAGGCATGTTTCCATTGTCCTAGTAAAAAGAGGCGCATGACTACCACATATTGCAACCAATGCCATCACGCTATATGTGGCGAACACCGAGGTAATATATGTACAATGTGTGCAAACGAGTAGTGTACATCGACTTTATTTATCTGTGTACCACTGACTAAGGCTTACATTTTTTCTAATTTTTTGTAATAAAAGTGTTTATAATTACATTTGTGTTTTTTTTCAATTTTTTGTTAGATGTCGTAAAAATTACGATAGTCCACCATAACTGTCAGTAAATAATAGTCCACCTTTCTAGGGTTAAATCTAATCTATCTTGCTTATTAGTTGCGCCACATATAGGCAACTTACAGTATCCGCACTGTGTTTGTGTGTGTTACGTTTGGAATGTCCTACGATTAATTATCGCAAGAGACTCCTGGTTCGAAAGAATACAAAATTAAATTTCTATTACAAAAATTACTTTCGTATTAAAATACACAAATGTGACTTTAAAAGTTTTATTCAGTTTCCTTCGGTTCGGTGGTATAAATTCGACTAAAAACTAACTCTGAACAAATTGAATATATTCTTTACTATATGAAATTCAATACCCTACATTCTCAGACGAAAGTCATTAAAATTAATTGCTTTCACAAGCCCTTAGCCGGAGAGACGATACGCTGATTACAAAAGGGGATTTTTAAAATAAACATATTACTTAAGTATTAACTCGACAGTGTGTGTCATCGAATTTCCTGACTGTGGACTTAATCCATTAGCCGAAGCATTGTCGAAGTATCCGCATTGGAATATGGATTCTTACTTATGGAATTTCACTTAAAACGTATATTAATCTTTTCAAATT